GTATTATGGCTGGGTGATATAAATGATGCGTACACTTCTCGTCAAATAAAACATAAACGATGAGAAAATGAGAAACTTTAATAAACTGTCAATAAGGAACATTGGTTGCACATAATAGCCAGTCACTTCAGAGAAATGAATGCAATTCCAATCAATCATATGATAGGCTTTTAAGAACGGACAATCTATACCAAAAAAAAAATGCACATCGCAGAAACAATATCTTTTAATAAAGGAGACATTGTGGATACACGAGGGAAAAAGAGCTTGTGGTGCTGTGGTACTTAGGCAGAGTCCGACACGCAACAGACCTGTGCTGTGTACTACAAGCAGTGCCAACCAAAACTGGAAGCACTGCCATCCAGTGGAACATTCAGAATGCAAGCGCTTACAGTTGCACCTGCAACGTCAAACCCGTCCCCTGGATCGAGCAGCAAGTTTCAGTCAGAGGAGAAACCCCAGTGACAAACTGTACTGTTAGCACTTTCTGGTGTTATTTTTGTATCATTTATTTATTTGAATTAGATTTCAGCATGCAGTCCATTCAATGTGAGGTTATTTTTCATGCTCTGAACCTGTTTACGAGGAATCCTAAGGGAATTTTAAGCAAAAATGGAGCTTTGAAAGCAAGGGCATGACTTTGGTGCGAGTGTGGGGGGGGTGTTGAAGTCTCCACTCATTTAATGGGGTCCAAGGGGTTATATTGGCTGATTTTGATTACTATGGGGTTACAGCATCGTGATTTCCTGAAAATGGAGACCAGGGGGAGGGAGGACTGGTGCGACGGTGAGATGCTAGAGGACCAAGGTGCTTCTGGCTGCCATCACGGTGTAAGCTTTCTCCTCGTTTCATGCTGGTGTTGAGCTTCTGGCACAACTCAAGCCCATTACTTCCATTAAAAGGCTAGGGCTCTCTGACAGCACTGTCACCGGCCAGTGCGGCCATCTGCACTGCATGTCACAGTGGCCCAAAACCACTGAGGAGCTGGTTTCCTAGGACTTGGATTTTTTTTTTCCTCAACAGGACAGACATGCTCACTGCAAGGTTCAAGGAGATTAAATTTAAAGCGGCCCTTTGGGTGTGACGACTCCACCAGGCGTTTGTGGAAGGCTTGGAGGAGCTCTGGCTGCTATGGCTTCTCCACCCATAATGGAGGGTTCAGATTTCCCATGGAACGTTTTTTTCCCATGGAACGTTTTCAGTCATGTCCTGTTAGATCCATGGGTTACCCAACACCCTTTGTTATATCTCTGCCTGTATTGTTTGCATTTCCAGTGAGCTGAAGAGTGCAGTGAGAGACATAACGGCCCGTGTTATTAGCTCTGCCATGTGGGAACCTGAAACATTCATGTGGAAGACAAACCCTTGCATGAAATAACAGCAGCGGCTGCCTGATGTTCTTCCACTCGCTCTTCTCACCTTTGGTATCCCCTCAGACAGAGGGTTATTATTTTTTTTCATGTTTTTTTGAAAGCAAACTTCACATACTGTAGTGTGAAGGCTGGTTGTTATACCAGAAAATTAAACATATAGATATAGTTTATGACAAAAGGCAAAGCGGGCCCATATGGACCTCCCCAAAAGCAGAGGCGGTGATGAACATTGACACGCTCGTGATCAAAGGTACCCTTGCCCCCGCTGCTTCAGCCATCGCACCAAACCCTCACTACCGCAGTGCTACTTTGCGCTCACACTCCGCATAATGCCATTGAATTATTCAGCTGATGCTGCACAAACAGTGGGAATGAAAGTGGGAAGAACAGGCCTGTGTAACCTGTGTGGCACTTCCCACTCCGAGTGCAGGCACCTGTGTAGATATTTGAAAGAAGGACCCAGAGAGTTTTATGAACAACGGGTAGCTTTATGAAATTTGGATGCTAATATGGGTGGGGGCAGGTGTCAGCGGGCAGAGGTGTTGAGTACTGCCCTGTTAAATATACTTCAATATCCCGAGTGCTCATGTTTAGATTATGACATCCAGTGGCTTTTATCACATTTTTCTCCAAGTCTGGATCCCTGATGCACTCACCTCCTGACCTCACGCTACTGCATCTGTACGGCCAGGTATTTGCTGAAGGTACGGGGGCGTCTTGCTGAAGAGCAAAAGTTCTCCGTAGGAGATTTAGAAGTGAACTCCTAGACAAACCCTCAGTCCTGTAAGCAGATAAGCCACCGGACCTCTGCGCTTGTTAGTCTGTGGATATACTGGGCATATTTCAAGCTCGTCAGATTCCAGTCCCACCATTGGGAACAGCACATCTAGGGGTTTGATATGCTTGCAGCGCTGGTTAGAATTAAGGGTTTATCACAAAAAATGAGCAGAACTTAATGCATTAGGTACCACAGAATTTTGTCCACCATTTCAGATTTGCCCACCTGGATAATGATGCTATGCTGTAGCATGAAGAGGTAAGGAGGCCGACGCTGGGATTCTCACACACGCAGAGCTGGCTTGGAAAAAGCCAAGCCAGAGGAACACATCCAGACCCTGGCTAACTTTGCTCAGTAACTCTTAATGTCGTGTCTATCGTGTCCCTAAATGAGGCTTGGAGATCTGAAACTGTTAACAATGACTGACACCTTCCCTATAGGACACCCTCTGTGCCTAAGAGAGGGAAAATAATCATTTAAATAACAAATACCTGGTTACACTTTACTTCAGTGGGAGAAAATATGTGGTATTACACTCTTACTTAATGTATTCATTAACCAGAAACAAAGTGTTAGCTATATGTACTAATCATATGTCTGTTCATCATTAATCAGTAATCAAAGAAAATGCTTTTCATGCAGTTAATATATTTATTCATGGTTTATACTTGAGTAGTAACCGAGTTACTATGTTATTTATGCCTCCTCAAGTAATGTGTTACCAAATAGCATGTATGCTCATATCAAGCATACAGCTTACTAGTAGTCTACTACAAGTATTTAAGGACTGATAATCTTTACCGTCAAGGAGATTACTTTCTTCAAGGGAGCATATAAGCTTGACTAGATATAGCTTTGGCAAATGTGATCTACATTTTGTGGTATAAATAATAAACAAGGACTGTCACACCTGGCCAGACAAAAGCGGTGCATTTCTGAAATCACCCCTACAGAAACAAATGATCCCTAAAGGTTAAGAGTGTTTCTCATTGGTGTTTTTACCACTGACTGGACACCCGTCAAGGGACCATAAACCTCATGCTCCTATGTGCCAAAATACAGTCATTTTCCACCCACAATTCTCCATATGCCTGCACTGATTTCTTCCATTAGCAGGTTTTTTTTAAGCATTTACTATATACAAGTGACATGATGGAGCCATTGGCACTAGGCAGATGGTATAATGGCAGTGAGAATGTTCCAGAAGAGTGTTGGAAGGTAAACTATTCAGGCTGAGTTCCTCCAGTGAAAAAGCATCAGCTAAATTGCCCTGGACTGTGGCATCAGATATGCAGCTAAGAGGGAAAATTAGCATCAATCAACATTAATTCCCTCTATGGAATTAATATCTGAAGATGTGCTTTTTTTGTACTGTTACAGGATATGAAGACATAAGCTGAGGCAGTGTTCCCTGCCCAGTATTCTGGAAAAAGATATTTGGTCAAAACTGCTCCAGCAGGGTAACTAAGGAAAGTTAATCCATCCGAAATGTAAAGAAAAAAAGTGACAGAAACTGTCTGCATGTGACTGAGTGCTTTTCTCTCCATCTAACTGGTATACGAATTTCTCTTCTGACAGGACCTGTTATGTAAAAATTACAGAACAATGGTAACACCATTCCAACATTTCCTAGACCGTAAGATCCCAAGCAAGTGGAACTGCTTCAAAACTGCAGTGAAACATGCAGTCTGAAGATAAGCGTCAATGAAAGGCGTGGCTTCCCCTGCCCTACGATAATCACACACAGCATACACTATAGCGTCAATGAAAGGCGTGGCTTCCCCTGCCCTACGATAATCACACACAGCGTACACTATAGCGTCAATGAAAGGCGTGGCTTCCCCTGTCCTACAATAATCATACAGCGTACACTATGGCTTCAATGAAAGGCCTGGCTTCCCCTGTCCTATGATAATCACACAGCTTACACTATAGTCACTGCACGGATTGTCTTAGCCTCCTAATCCTCACAACCCTGCATAATGGCATTTCCATAAAGAAATGTTAGAAACAGACAAACAGAGCTGCTTAGCAAATATTTTTAAAGCTTTATTTTCATTAAAAAGGTCTAATATGTGTGCAGTTAAATGGATGATATCCAAAACACTCATCTGTGTGTGACTAATGGTGTCTTTATTTTTTTAGTCTGGAGCTCTGTTTTTCTTCTGGAGACTTCTGTCACTCAGTCATTTCCCTCCCCAATCTCCCAGTGGGATATCCCTGCCCGGTGCTCCCCCCGGCCACCATCGCCGAGGCACACGGGGCCCCCGCCCCTGCCCGCTGAGTGTGTCATCCCTGCTAACTGCGGGTGCCTCTAATACACATTATGGGACCAGGCCCGAGGTTCACGGGGGAGAACAGGCAACCACATATAGCTGACCTTGTTTACAAACTAATTTAACGGGCGGCAGAGATTTGTAAAAGAATGCACCGGAAGGGGCCAAAATATAAATAACATTCTAACAAACCAAGTGTTTCTTAATGGAAAACAAATGTTCGAGATTCAGTAATTAACCATGCTGAACCCAGTCGGCAGAGATGCTTTGTTGTACCCTGATACCGAACACTTAGTGCTGTAATTAAAGGCCAGGAACATCTGATAATATTCACCAGATGTCTGCGATGCTCCGCTAATACTGAGGCTAAAAATTGACCAGCTGGACATTTCTACTTCTCCGAACAGCTTCTCTGCTTCTTAAATATTCAACTGCAGCAATAAAAAAATCACGGTAGCAGCATTGCGGGCCAAGTGTGGGAAAGAGAACCGAAAGGGGAGCAGGACAGAGGAGGACGGACTGAGTGCGATGGCACCGTTACGCGATAAAACGGAAGAAGGGTTCGGATCTTACGCTGTGTTGCATTGTGGTCCAGACCTTCCTCTGGTAAGCAGCGAAAAAGAAGGAAAAGAAGAAGGGGAGATTTAGTTAAAAAAAGAAAATAAGACGCATCAGTCAGAGAAAGGGGGAGGAAACATACCTGAACATGAATACGACATATATGCATTAGGAAGGGAAACAGGATGTAATGATTTATACCCCCACTGCTTCCTTGGGGTACAATGTAGTACATGTCCATCTCACACACAATCATAGGGGCCTGTTCAGCATAGATCTGTGCTGCTGTCACTCAATTCAAAAGTGGAGATTACTGGTCGATCTCTAAGAAAGGACTTCCTATACCGCCCCCACTAACCACCAGATCGGTGAAAAAGAAAATGGCTCCAAGTGATGCAGCTTTCAAGTGCAATTCTGAGGGTCTGCTACCTTTTTTGGTACAGACATTTAGGAATGAATGTTACACTTAAATGTAATCATAGGGGCCTTTTCAAGACACCCAAAGCACTTTAAAAACCAATAAGGAGTCACTCCACCCACTTGGATGATGCTATGGCAGCCAATCTGCACCAGTGCACCCACCACACAGTAGCTAAGGTGGTGAAGGGGAAGGAGAGAATTCACCAGTTAGGTATAGTGGATGATTAGGAGACCAGATTTGAATGGGTCACAGTGGGCAATTTTAGCCCCTAATCTTTTGAAAGACGCCCAGGGATCTTTTATGACCTCAGAGAATCAGGACCTCAGTTTTACTTCTCATCCGAAGGACGGCACCATTTTACAGCACAGTGTCCCCATCACTGCACTGGGGCATCGGGATCCACACTGGCCACAGGATGGACTGACCTGTCAGCAACACCAACACCTCTTCCAGCAGCAACCCAGCTTTCCCAGTTGGTCTCCCATATGGATTCCTTAGTTTTAACTGCAAGTGGCATAGCTGCTGACATATCATCGCTGTCTTTCACAGTAATAAGAAAAACGGCCCAGTGCAGATTTGTTACGGGTGGTATAGCTGGAACACCTTTGCATGTTGACTGAATTACCCAGGGTGACGTATGTAGCAAAAGCAAGCTGATAGGATTCATCAGCTTCATTTGAGGTGAATTTTTTTGGTGAGAACAAAGAATTTACAAAAAAAAAAGAGATATATAATAAACATAAAGAACTGAGACTGCCATTTTATGCTGGAAAGGTCCTTTGGAGCATGACATTTACCTTACAAGCACTGCTTTACTCTGAGGTTGGATTACAAACTTTTTTATTACTTGTAGGTGTCACGTGGCCCTTTGGATGCTAGAGCGTGACAGGACAGCAGTTTATCTAAGATGAATGATCTTCATAAGGATGCAGGGAAGTCCTGAGATGCACAAAAGCACATTAATCTGGTCCAAACAATAGCTGTGCCACATATTCCAGACCAAACATACCCTTTCACTCATAACTTATGAAAAAAATAAATGAAATGGGTGTTTATTTTATACTGCAGGGCATTATGTATTGTCTTACTTGAGAACAGGGGTTATGGACCTGCAGGTTAGCTGAGAACTTATTGTTTGAGTCCCAAGAAGGTGTTTGCTGTATCTTCGAGCGAGTTTCTTCAGCAGGAGAAAATTAGTAACACTGCTAAGGGAAAGAAGAGCTTTCTCCTAATGTGCAAACCTGACTCACAGTGAAAGGATGCTTTAAGGGATCCATGATAGAGAGAGAGAACTGAGATATTACAGACGATGTTACTCCACTGAAAAGCAGTCAGGTGACCTCCCTCAGCGCTTCCTTTATGGGCTGAGCTTTCGTAACGCATCAAAAGAACAAATGAATGCATTAAAGCACCTTTTAAACATTCATGCCTCTAAAATATTTTCCTTTTGTTCGTCAAATGACTGGAGGACGGTGAATAAAACATCAGTTCCTTTAGAGTGTCAGAATTGAAACTGTAATAAAGGAAATTCATTACCCAGCTCCTGTTTACTTATGACCTTCCCCGAAGAAGAGACGCTCTGCGTACACAAATATGGAAGAACAACAATGGATGGAAAATTATTGACGCACAGCATTGCACCCCAAGGTATAACCAATGTACCCCAATGTCTGCAAAATCAATAGTGACTGTGACCAGGTGACTGGTACAAAGGACCCATTTCCAGGTTTCCAGGAGGATAAGATGGTGATCCGGCGAATCTAATCAGGAGAATCTGCTCACGCTGGTCACCGGGGACACAAACCCAGCTCTGCACAGATGTCGCGGGAACACTAAAGGGGGGGGCGGGCTCACTTACCAGTCTGTCCAGGCTTGTGCCGGCCGCTGTGGTGGGCCTCTCCTCTGGGCTGTAAGGTCTAAAGCGGGCGTTGAACACATCCGAGATGCCACGGCTCGAGCGGCCATTCGCTGCAGGCTTTGGCTGCCCACATCCTTGAAAGACCTGCAATTAGAGGAAGAAGCAGAAGCAGTTGCTAAGCAGTGGGAAGACGTGACTTTGCTTCTGCAAACATATCAGCAGAGCCGAGCAGAGCCCAGGGAGGGGCAAGGCAAGGTGAGGCGTGTTACCACCCGGAATGGAGCCATTCAGCATGTTTCCTCGTTTTCAGGTTGAGGAATGTTTTCAATATAGTTCGGGCCTCAAACACGGGTCATAAATTTCAGAAAAAAGGAAAAGAACTGAAAGTCTTTTTTGATCAACGCTTTACCTATTCATCTCTGTGCGATCATGTTTATATGAATAACATCCTTTTAAATTGATTGAAATTAATCAATCACTAAAACGCACACACTTTCTGTCGAAAGAAACATTCCACTTCCAGACGTCTGCTAAAAAACAAACGTACAAGAAAAATTCGGGAGACAAGATCCACTTTTCATCTGGAAACTAGTCAGGGGCCATACTGATCCATTCTGAATGAATGCCGGTCACATGGGAATTAACAGAATGTGTGATTGGTCCTTTTCATCCATTCAAGCGAATCTCCACGGAGTAGAGTGTAGATAGCGTCAGTTATCAGTTCTGTGAAATGCTGAGTTTCAGAATGGCTTGTGATAGCACACCGAATCTGCAGATTTCAATTTTATTTATGGGATTTGATATTATCTCTGCCTGCAGATGATTCACATGACATTCATATATTGGTGCTCTCTCTCATAAATCCTCTCCTACCCACAGTTTTAGCAACAATATTAGAGTTCATGATTCAAAGACTTCTAAATATCGAGGAGAGACACCGTGAAATACCCTTTGAACTGATACTTACCCTTTGCCATTCTGCACGGCTAGCATTCCTGTCTTACAAATCAATTCCTAACACTTCACTCTGATTTGTGAACCACGACCGAAGATTCAATACAGCACAAACAACACGTGTCTGTGGCGAGCTGCTGCACTGCAATTTCAAGGGTCCCGGTCTTGAGAAATTGAGGTTCGTCTTTTTTTTTTTCTCCCATGAATAGAGAGGAAGCACTAGGTTAAATGACAGAGACTGTAGCTCTTTAAAAGCCACCCCCCCCCCCCCCCCCCCCCAGGGAGGTGTCTGTGAGCTTAACCTTTAGTCGACACAAATCTGATTGCCCTCCCAGTATGGTCTGATGCCACCAGTTTAACTCCGCTGGTCTCCAGCCCAGACGATGATGAAGTGGTTTAATGATATGTGTGACTTTTGCATGAGGGGTCCCACCTCCCAGCGGTGCCCACCTATTTGCCACCGTGATCGCAAATCAGGGACACGCCAACACCATGGTGCACAAGGAGCCTGAACGAAGCCATTTACCCAGTTCTGCATTAATGCTCACTTTCGTCATGTGCAGACTGTGTTTATCCTTCTCACTAGACAGGAATAATAATAAATTCTACATTTCTTGGATTCTAGGAACATGTGACATAAAGCGACCAAAATGTGCTTTCAGGTTTTGCTACTCCTTGACAAATCACTCAGATATACACATAAAATGCTGTGTGCTGTATTGTTAAAAAATGAACTTATAAAAAATTATATTTGTCCCAAATGGCCCCCAAAAAATTGGATTCTCTAATATTGTTTTAAACACGGTACAGTAATATGCGCACTGTACAGTAATAAAACTTATGATATTCAAAAACTATGATATTCACTTATATTCACATAATGCCGAAATCCCCCTTTTACAGACGTGTGTGCAGCATCCTTCAGTCACATAGTATAAATGTCGCGCAGACTTTCAGGAAATGCCGGGCGACCATGAACGCGCACGTGGGCGTGGCCTAAGCTCGCCAGCTCTGTTACGAGAAACCAACTGTCGTATTTCAACATGACCTTAGCGAAAGCTGCGGCACGGCCGGAGGGCACGGTCACATTTATCGTCACATCAGCAAGCCTCTCTTTTTGTCTACATGCTGCAACAAAACTGCTCGGCAACTACTTGCCAAATCAAAAATTAAGCGGTACGTGCAGCGATACATCAGGATTTCAAGCCAGTATATCAAGCAGAGGTAGGTCAATGCTGTCAGAATACAAATGTAAGATTCCTTCATTTAATATAGCAACAGTAACTTAAAAAAAAATATTTCAGGCAAACCATACATCAATGTAAGCATGAAAGGAAGAACTAAAAGCAAAGGTCAGCAGACAGACCTTGGAGGACACCTGCACGCTGTTGTCCTGCATATTCATGATGGCCTCTGAGATCTTGACGTCGATGGGCTCCATGACGGCTTCGATGTTGAAGGGTCCCTCCAGCCTCTCCGCCACAAGCAACAGGGCATCTGACAAAATGGAGGCAGAGAGGATGGTGAGCTGGACCCTGCACACACGCAAACAGGCATGCAAACAGGCATACACGCACACGCATGCACACACGCATGCATGCACTCCTCTGGCAAGGGTCAGCAGACCTCAACCTGACGGACGCCAGCTGTGTGTCAGGGAAAAGCCTGGTGTTGCCACGGTGACATTTCAACTAGCCTTCCTTCTCATTTCCCTCCCTTTAAATTTGATTTAACATCCTAGACTATAAAAAACATTTCTCTGGCACAGGAAAACTGGATGACCTCCCCGAGTTTGTCTGGAAAAAAATGTCGTAAACATGAAAAAAGAGAAAAGGAGAATTTTTAAAAATAAAACAGGCTTCATGACACTTCCCAGAGAGACAACTTATATCCAACTGAGCTGAAGAATAGAAGAATATTATTTTATTTTTACGAGACCACTCCTGCACAGAGGAATCACAGGTATTGCCAGTTATTATTAGATTAATGTAAATACAAGTGTCTGTGCAATCGGAGATGTTCTTTGCATCATCCCTAATTGTAGCTATTGTTCAGTTAAAAATACAAGTGCAATCAAGTAGCTGGTTTAGATACTGTGACAGGTAGCCTGCACAACCTTTGTCCCGAGAGGTCTTATTAGTGCAATACACAGGGGTGAAGGAGATTAACAAGGGACTAAAGTCATCCCATGGTGGGCTAGAGAGGTGAGGAGAGCGTCAGTGAACTGCAGGGAGGCAGAGCTGGAGATGGGACCCGCTCCGGAGTCTGTGCCAGCAAGAGGTTCGTTCTCGTATAACGTGGAGAATTAAAACACTAAACATGCTTTCTCACTTCCCACATCCTGCTGCTTGCAAACTGGTGCCAAAATTAAACTCAGGGAAAAAAAGGAAATTACTGATGATTCTGTCTCAGTTATGACTGCTGGAAGAAAAAACAAGTAATTTCGTTGACAGTAAATATTTCACATATATTAAGACAATATGACACATTTTATTCAATATGTAATAAAAAAACATTAATGCACTAAGCAAAATGTACAGTAAACATTCTGAAAAGATTCTGATCCAGCCATAAAACTGTAAAAGACCCAACTGCCAAAAGCTCAGATCCAAATAAAATAAAGCAATTTTATTTGCTCTCAAATCCATTCAGGAGTTATTTCAAACATCACATTTTCCCTGTGTAAATCCATCTACTCATAAACAGGCCTCTCCCTGCGGACAAAAAGGAAGCACTTTTCATAAAATGCAGACTGATCCTCCTCGTGACCTGCTGACTTTCCCAACTCCTGTGCTGAGCGCTGTCAGAGGGAAAGCCCCAGCCTCCCTGCCGCCCGTCCTTTCTGCATGAAACTGTGTGTCTCCCCAACCGGGAATCGCAAGCCTGCCGGTGCTCAGAAGGTGAAACTTAAAGACTTAAGTGTCTAATGGCTAAATTTAGGATTTTCGAAACAAAACAGCAACACTAATATAACAATTTACCCGATATAAAAAAATCAAACCATCCATCCGTCCATCCACTTCAGCATGTCTTTGGACTGAGGGGAAAACCAGAGTACCCAAAGGGAACCCCACAATGACAACATGCAAACTCCACACGCATGTATCTATGTATGTATAAACATTGGTAAACAACAGAAATAACTCCACAAATTCCAACAAAATAAATAACAAATAAATAATCATTCGTGGCCTCTGGCTGTCAGGAAAGGCCAACCTGGATCTTAATAACGCTGTTTTCATACAGAATAAAGTCAGGCAGTTTTGGGCAGGAAATGGGTTCTTTGAAGGCAAATGCGTGAATAAATGTGAACCCTGGCTGGGGCAGATCTAAAAAAATACTAATGAGGACATTCATTTTGAGCATAGGTACAGTATTTATGAAGACAATGCTAATCTAACAAACTAGTACCCTCTCCAGTGCAGCTGAATCCTCTATTCATGTATATCTCCAGTTATTTCTACTCAGCGGAATACTTATTGATACGAGTCTCATACACACAGTCAGGTCAGTCTGCCAATGATGAAACAATCAGAGAATCAGAGGCAAAACAATCGGATTCCTGGATAACAATCAGCATCAGTCAGAGTATTATATTCAAATCCACCACATGCAAATTACTTTATCTTTCATCTGTCTGAATTTCTGTATAACAATATAAAATTTATTTAGCTATCACTCTTTTAGTGGAATCGGCTACGATATGCGAGAATTGGTTACAGGATAAAACAATGAGACAATTTTTGTGTAACCTCCTTCAACATCGTGTAATATACATATGAGTAAATACATGGCCTGATCGCAGAAGGCTGCATACCTTGGGATGATTTTGTTGCTACTTGCGTGAAATAAAACCGGGAGGCATCGGTGTGTATTTTCAAATTGTGCCGACTAACACGCCAGACATCTGAACCGTGGCCTCGCAAGGGAAACGGGGATATCAGCCCAGCCAAGGGCTCAGTTACAAAGCCAGTGCGCTGTGCTGTGGTGTGGAACCACAAAAAAATGATTAGCCCATCTTCAATCAATCAGACGGTAACCTCAGACAGGAGGGGCAAACAAGCACTCGCGTCCTGCATGCCTCTCAGATACATATAGCAGTATGCGTCCTCTCAATAGTGCATTATCAGATGGCAGCCGCAATTTAAAGTGCAGCCGTGTCATTAAAGGTTGGTCATAATTGGTTATACATTACAGAATGACAGACACGCATCCTCTAGCAATGGACAGAAATAAATACGCGTTAGAAACAAATTTGCTTATGTTGAAGCATAAGTGATTTCAATGCCTCTTTTGGACATTTTGGAGAAAAAATAACAGGGACGTATTCAGCCAGCTGGAAAATGCTTTTTATCGGCTGAATAATGCAAAAGAGCATCGCCTTGTTTAACAGAAACAGAGGAAGCCCATTCGCAGAAAAAACATCACTTTTCTCACTGTTAAAAAAGAAAAAAAACATTACTTTCAAACTAAACATTTTTCCTCTGGATAGTTCCTGCTCTCTTTTTATCTGAGAACAAAACTAATAGTCTATATCTACACTTTTAAAAAAATTGTAATTTCTACTCGGTGACCCCGAACTTTGTATCCTGAATTTCATTTCAGTGTTTTCATTAGTTTTTTTTTTTTCTTCAAAAATTTACATCTAAATGCTTTTAATTAATGAGGCTAGTTTCAGGTTTCAAGCTATGCCGTTATTTCTCTTGTCAGCCCAGCGCTGCGGTGAATGTTTATTCAATGACAGGTTAAAAATGGACCTTCGAGAGCGCACAGAAAGTCATAAATCCAGCCTTAATGGCTGCAATACGGACAGCACCACCGCGTCGTGCTTTTCATGGTTCAAGGCAGCCGCCGGCCGTTTTTAAACACAGAAACCCAGATAGTCGCTCTCCTTGTGGATAAACGCTGTGCTTGAAAGCCATCCGTCACCGGCGCCGCTTCCTCCCCTCGCAGCAACAAGCGGCTTTCTCGCATCGTTGTTATGCCGCACACAGTCCAGCGCCTTTCCGATTCTCTGTTCGCCTAGGCTACCATAGCGGCCTTCTGGGGGAATCGGTCCCATAAATGGGCGGGCGATGGCAAATTTCCTTCATTTACTTCATTTTCCGTCCAGTTTCCTCTCCCGATCTGCCTTCCAGGTATCCCTGCCGTTGCTTACATTTACAAAGGACCTTTAAATCGTCCACCGTACCTCGGGAACGCCATCGCTACTGTGATTTCATGCATACTAACACAAACATTACAGGGTACAATTAATAATAATTATTTAAATGCATATGCAATCCATTTGTGCTTCTTCACACTGGCATTTGCGCATAAATAAAAACCGCATTTCAAATATACCATAATTGAAAAATGATTTTTTTGACATACTGTAACATAAACCTCATTTATGTAAATAGGAAACAGATAAAAACTGCCTTTTTGTACTTGCAGATATTTATTAGCTAGACCTTGGAGATTGCAATTAATCTAATCATCATGTTAAATGCCCTTATAAATAAACCATCATCTGCTGGTGTTTTGCAGTATGTGCATTAATGAGGAAAGCAAAGAAAACCGTCACGGCAGCAGTGAGCGAGGACGTCGCAAGCTGACGCGGAACCTCGGGCGGACCTACAGCATCCTGTCTTGCTGCGATGGGACCGTCATGGTCGGAAGGGAGCGGAATATCTGGTGCTGCGTTCCATTTACCTCTGAGGTGGGATGTCGCAGCTGAGAGTGACGTCACACCCGACAGCAAAGTCGCAAAGTCATTCAGCAAGACCAAGGACCTGTTACAGCTAAGCAAGAATTCTTGCTTAGCCGGTCAACACAGACAGAGGAGACTTATGGGGATGTGGCATTGTGAGCCTCGTGGGTGGGGGGGGCTGTGGACGGTGCAGACACCCAGGGTGGCTGTAACCAGTGGCGATGGGCCGGGCCGCAAATAAGACTGTTAACATTTATTGGAGCTGCCCAGCGGGCTCAGCTGGTGAGCGGATGGCAGGGGCTCTCTCCAGCATTAAGACAGGCAGAGATGAAA